CTAATGTGATACGGTAGAAGTAGTGAATTGCAAAAAAAAAAAACCTACTCATGTAGTCCTTCCTTACTGGCCCCTTGTTCAATCACCATTCAAAGTCACAATGAGTTTAAAAGAACACCAATTAAAAATTCTAGTTCAAAATACATTTTTGTTGCTATATTATGTTAGGTAATTAAACAATCAAATAAATATTAATTTTAGGTATTTTTCCTACTTTATTGGACTAATTTAAATGGAAAATTAAATGAGAATAGACAAAACAAAAATAACTCAGTGAAATAGAGGCTGTTTTGTTTTTCACAATGCTTAAAATAACTAGATTTTAAATCTAAGTAATATACAACATAAATAAAGCAAATTCAGATTTGATTTGTTTAATAAAATAATATTAATAAAAGTGTATTATGCTTTTAGGGTGGTGTTTACATTCATAAACAAAGATTGGGAATATGCTACATTTCATATTTCTTAGGTGTGTACTTTATATTTTTCAGTACATTAAAACTTATGCAGTGAAACTGAATAATGATAAATATTCTTATATCCCTTTTTTATAACCTATTTTGGGTTATCCAAACTATATGCCCTTTCCTGTTAATTTATGAAAATTATTGTTGTTATAGCACATTATGGCACTTTCTGCATGTTATAAGAAAAGGACTAAGCAACATAAAACACATCAAAATTCATTAAAGTGGTATTGATTACTTTTTGGATAATTAATTTTATTGCAGACCCTTGAAAAAGATAATGAGATGCAAAGAGAGAATGCTAAAGAAAATGAACAAAAGTTAGCTAGCCTTCTGAATGAATATAAGAAAGTACAAGCAACTTGGAAGAATGAGGTTGGTTTATTAATCAAATGCTGCTGTATTAACGGAATTACCAAGTACTAAGCAAAATGTTCCAAATAAACTCAGGAGAAGATGACAAAAATAAGAATAGGACAAAAAATTATTTGGCTTTAAAAGCTTTATCCAGTTGGTATATTAAAGTCTTCTGAATAATACTTTGAGAGTTTTTCATATTTATTTATTTGGTCAATGACCAAAATAAAAGACAATAATTACAATCAGGATTGACAGAATACTGGGTGCAACTATGCAATAAAATAAATCAGGGATGGTGACTCAGCGGTTAAAGATGCTGAGCTCCCATTACTTGCTCCAGCTTCTGCCCACCTAGCAGTTCGAAAGCATGCAAATGCAAGTAGATAAATGGATACCACTTTGTGGGAAGGCAACAGCATTCCATGTGCTTCAGTGTATAGTCATACTGGCCACATGACCACAGAAAAGTCTTCTGACAATTCTGGTTCCCGCGGCTAAAATGAAATGAGCACCGCTTCCTAGAAACAGAAATGACTGGACAGGGGAAATCTTTATCTTTACCTTTAGGATATTATACAGGTAGTCCTCACCTTATGACCACAATTGAGCCCCAAAATGTATGTTGTTAAATGAGAAATATGCTAAGTGAGTTTTGCCCCATTTTGTGACCTTCTTTGCCAAATTTGTTAAGTGAATCACTGTAGTTGTTAAATTAATAACACAGTTATTAACTGAATCTGGTTTCCCCATTGGCTGTGCTTATCAGGTTGTAAAAGGTGATCACATGACTCCAGGACACTGCAACTGTCATAAATGAGTCAGTTGTCAGACATCCAAATGTAAATCATGTGACGATGGGGATGCTACAATGAAAAATGATCATAATTCACTTTTTTCAGTGCCCTTATAACTTTGAATGGTCACTAAACAAACTGAAGTAAGTCAAGGACTACCTGTATTTTTTCCTGTATTTCTGTAAGATCCAAAATTTTCCATCACTGACATCTATATATTTTATTATTTCCAACTGTTATTTTAACTGTTATTAGTAAATTTAAAACCACTCATGTCTTTCATATTTGTTATGAAATCAATAAAAATTAACAGTGTAAAACTTAACACTTTACATCTTACAGAATTATAAAGATCTTTCTATGGTTTTTACATTGCTTAGGAACAAAAAGTGCAAATTTTATTTGGTTTCTTCTATTAAATTGATTAAAAATATATCTTTTCCCCACATTTATTATTATTAATCCATCACTTTCCTCCTGCTTCATGTCAAATTCAGGGAATTAAAATTTTCAGTTCACTATCTTCCATGTAATAAAAATCTATAACATGCCTAATTTAATTTTTAGCTGAACATGAAAAGTGCACTTAAAAGATTTCAAATAAATTGAAGGCAAACATTTTAGAGGGCTTTCTGCTATTTATTCACACAACGTATAACTAAATGCATACCTGAATGCTTGCTATTTCTTCTTGTATTATTTTTATTAGTATATATGCTGGAATGCATGCCTAGGTGTAAAGGAGTACTATCATTCCTATTTGAAATAGAATGACTAAGGAGATTCTCAATCATCCAGGTCATGTTGTCCATCTGCATCTAAAAGAAAAGGACCACTCTTTTGAAGACAGCAAAGTTCACATTCTGGACAGAGAGGACCACTGGTTTGAAAGAAGCATCAAAGTTTCCATCTATGTTAAAATGGAACAGCCCAACAGATGAGTGATATCACCCATCTCCTGTTTACAATGCAGTCCTTTCAGCAGCCCCAAGAAGGTTTCATACCTGTTTACACTCTGATTCATTCAGAGGACTCTGAGGATACAGATAAACACCAAGTGGTTTCAATGACTCTCAGAGAACTAACAACTGACTCTTAAAAGTCCTAACAACCAGATGACTGAAAAGAATATAAATCCTTCCATTTCCCTCCAGTCAGTTAGAAATGAAGAAGCTTCCTGGGAAAGAAGTGGAATGTTTTCAAACAAAAAACAAGAAAGACCAGTTGCCTTTTGGAAAAAGCATATTTGGGACATTTGAAATAGAAATATTTTTCTTGAACTCTAGAACTATTTTGTTCCATTTATAAATTCAATGCTAAAAATTATTACAAAGGAAATTATATGTCTATCAATTTCGTATCTTCAAAAGTAAAATTACTTTATTTTTGTTTTGCCCCAGGTAGAAAACATGTCTAATGAAAATAAAGAACAAAAAGAGGATAAGTATACACAAACTACAATGGAATTTTTAAAGGAATATGAACAAAAAGAATATGGAAGAAACAACAATTTGGAGATAGACAGTGGTATAAACATAGGGAAAAAGCATTCAGAATATTTTGAAGGTATAATTATTCATAATTAAAACATAAAATGTTGACAATTAGTCAATGTGGTAAAAAGTTGTAAAGTTATTCGTCCTCCTCATTTCTACAATGCCAACAGAAACACCAACATTGAGCACCCTAACACACCTGAACAATGTCACTTGTTCTCATAACTTTGTGTTTCTGCATCTGATTAACTTCCACCTCAGTTGGCATAGAGGTAGAAAAGCTGTGAATAATGCACTGGAACTAGGTATAAAACGGGCAGATTTTTTATGATAATAATTCTTGCCCTGGCCCACAGTGCTTTGTCTCTGCCTTCCACTTAGCTGAGTCTCTGAGACTCTGAAGTTACCTAGCAGAATACTTTCCCATCTTCTCATGTGTCGTTTTTAACTGATAAAAAATCAATAAGATAGAATGATGGCTGAAAGGTAACTGTTTAACTATTTAGTTGGTAATATGGAGAAAGCATTGGTCAGCTTATGGGACAGCTATCTTTTGCAAGGCTGGCCATCCTTGGAGTGTATTGAAGTAATAATGTCCAAACCTTATAGGGCTTTATAGGTGATCGCCAGCATCTTGAATTGGCCCAGGTACCATGACACAGAAATATACCTCCTTGGTTCTGCAAAATGATAACTTAAGAAGAGAGGGAGCTTCTGTAGGGGAAATAAAGAGACATTCCAGCTTGAAGTCATTTTGGGGGAGAAAATATTTGAGGTCAAACCCTTAGGTTTACATTTGCTGTTTTCAAAAACAAGATTCTTATAATACAGATAGTCAGCCATAAAGTATCTACTGTTTTTGAGTAGAGGTGGGATTCAAATTTTTTTTACTACCGGTTCTGTGGGCGTGGCTTGGTGGGCGTGGCAGGGGAAGGATATTGTAAAATCTCCAGTCAGAGGTGGTATATGCTGGTTCTCCAAACTACTTAAAATTTCCGCTACTGGTTCTCCACAATTGGTCGGAACCTGCTGAATACCACCTCTGTATTTGAGTCTATTCGCATAATGGGTCTGGTTGCATACATTTGACAGACACTGTTGTTAATAGGCACTGTTTCTAATAGATGGGATCTGGAGCATGCTTATTTATTTATTTATTTGATTTATATTGCCGCCTATTCGCCCATGGTGACTCAAGGCGGCTTACACAATGTAAAATCATATTTAAAACAAAAAATAAAAACAAAAACAATAAGAACTAACAAAAAGAATCAAATAAATTAGTAAAGTACAATAGAACAAAATTTGGGAAAACAAAAACAAAACAAAAAACCAACTCCCCCCCTCAACCGATGACAGTGGGTCACACTAGCCATCTGATGGGTTCCATTCCCCAGGCCTGCTGGCAAAACCAGGTCTTCAGTGCCTTTCGGAATAGTATTAACGAAGAGACCATTCTAATCTCTGGGGGAATGATGTTCCAGAGATGGAACCACCACAGAGAAGGCCCTTCTTCTAGGTCCCACCAGGTGGGACCCACAGCATTCCCTACTTCCTCGCTCTAATGGGTCAGGTAGATGTCACTGGCAAGAGATGTTTCCTCAGATAACCTGGACCCAAGCCATGAAGAGCTTTAAAGGTGACAACCAGCACCTTGAATTGCACCCAGATGCAAATTGGCAGCCAATGCAGCTCCTGTAGGAGAGATGATACATGTGCATACTGGGGTCTGCATAAAACCATGCGGGCCACTGCATTTTGCACCAACTAGAGCTTCCAGATGCTCTTCTTTAGATTCTATTCTTCCCATCAGAATAGACAGACCCCCCCTTTTTTTTTCAATGGAAAGACAGTATGAGACTGTCTCAGATTTAGTCTTGAACTGAGGATAGGTGCTTATTCTCTGTAAGCATCTACCTCAATAACTTTAATATCATACCATATGTTAACATTCATTTATCTGCACTTTACACTAACAGCAGAGACACCCATGGGAGGAGTACAAGGGGAAACAAAACGATGAAAGCAATGTTGCAACATTCTGAAGCAAGCCTTTTCTCCTTGTTAGGGGGACACATGCACATACTATATGGGTGAAGCTTGCAATACAGTGTTGCTTTTGTCATTCTGATGAAAAAACAAGCACCTGAGAATATCCATGTTTCAAACTGCTTGCCTCTGGAAAAATAGCAAAGGTTACAGAGATAGAGTGACATTATTCCTGCTTTTATAGTCTATCTCCTAAACATTATGGGTTTCCAGTGTGAGTTTCCCTCAGGATGATAGAAAACCTGAGCACACTGAAAGCCAAGCATGACCAAAATATATAGAGATACAATGAATTGAAAATTGATATTATTCATTTACTATTAATTGCTACTATTTTTTAGAAAAGCATTTTGCCTGTGTCCATGTTATGTGAAATATATTTAAAAGGAGTTTATTTTTGAATAAATTCCTGTTAATGATATATTCTAGATTTTAACGGATTTAAAATGACTTGCTAATTGTATGAATGAGGGTGATCATTTAAAAGAAAAGCCAAAGGGAAACTGTTATAAGCAAAGCCCTTTATATGTTCAATTACACCAGAGCTGACCTATAATCATGGATTGATAATTGCAAAGAAAGGGCAGTTCTAGAAAGAAAAATACCCTACTTGATAAAAGACTTTAGGCAAAGGTAGAAAGAATTCTCTTGGACAATTTTTATTCTATGATGTTATTGCCATTAGAAGAACCTAAGACTTTCTTAAAGTGTTGAAATTAGATTGTTTTAATCCCACTATAGAATTGGAACATTCTATTGATTACCTGGGTGCTGGTATTGAATGCCTTTCTGAGAGTACTGAAAATATTGAATGCCTTTCTGAGAATACTGAAAATATGAACAATACAATCCATGAGGAAGATTACTTGACAAATAAAGGAATCAGTGAGAAGCCTAAAGAACAAATTAAAATTACTTGTGAGAAAACAGCAAATAACCATATGAAATCTGAAAGGGATTCTGTATTGTTACCAGCGATCAGCACAGGTGACTTGGATAAGTACAATGCTAGTAATGCAGAAAAAACACCAAAACTTAATATATCTTCTAGTCAGAATGTAGATATAAATATTCATATTGATGAAAACATTAATAATCTACTTCTGAGGAGAGCTTTAAGTACTGAAAATTCAGTTAGAGGTGTACATGAAATGCCTAACAAACACTTTGATAAATATAGTTCCAAACTGAAAGAAATGAATACAAAGGTTTTGCTTCTGGACTCTCAAGATCTACATGAATCTGAAATTGGAGACATGACAATTAATGAAGTTGCTAAAGTTAAACAGGTAAACTTACATACTTCCAAAGATAACAGTGAGCAATTTACTGACTTTTTTAAGGAAGAAAAAGAAAGAGAAAAATCATTGAATACAATAATGAGGAAAATAACTGTGGAAGGAAGCACAAAAAAATCATGTTCTTTGCTCATGAAGCCAACAGAAAATTTAATAAACAGAAACGGAAGACTATCCTTTGACCTTCCAGTTATGGATAAAAAAACAGAATACTTACATTTATCAAGAAAATGTCAAGATGAAGTTCAAATAATGCCTCTCTCTTTGAAGGAAAGGCTTCTCTCCCAAGATATAAAAAATGCTCAGAGCTCAAGAAAAATTGATAAGATTATAAACATGCATAGTGATGTAAGTCAAGAAATACCAGGTAAGAAAATAATTAAATGCTAATAGATATTTAAAATTATATAGCCACAACAAGAAGTGGTCATAAATTGACATCCGTTCATAATTAATGTGTACTAGAATTTGGGGAGAAGGGAGGGGACTGCTGCAAAACAAGGAAGCAGGTAGAATAAACAGAGTACATACAAGTTGAACATACTGCCCATTTGACCAATGGGGAAGGGATTATATAATGAACTTTTGACAGTGGTCTAATATAAGGCTTTTGTGATGTGAAGGATTTCCTGAAAAAAATGTATAAAGTATTGGTAGTCCCAAAGTGGTGTGCTTTTTACTCAGTGAGTGTGACCTCACTGAGTAAAGGCTAGCAGAACCATTATGAAGGATATTAGATGGATTAACTTGATTTAAACCTAAATTAGGAAGAGAATATTGTTCTAACTTTAGAGAAGACAATGAACTCTGATGATCTTGTAAGATACAATTATTTTCATAGCATCCTGCAGACCTTTGCTGGAACGTTTCTTAGCCTAATTCAGGGATCAGCACTGGTCCACGGCATGTCAGAAACTGGACCGCACAAACAAGCAACCCTAACCTTATCCCTGGGATACAGGCAACGTACCAAACCACGTCCCCTCCAATTTGTGGAAAAAGCTCTCTCCAAAGAACCAGTCCCTGATACCCAAAAGACTGAGGGCCACTGGCTTAATTTGTTTCTTCACTTTGTGAATTATCCTATTCTTTCTAATCATTTCTGTAGCTTCTACTACTTGGTTTATTCACCTCTTTTGCTGTCACCCTCTTCTTCCTATGTCTTATTTTATTAACTCTAAATAAACTTGGTTAAGTAGACAGAACTGGAGAAATGAATGTAAGTTCTCTGGAGAAAATTATAAGGTAATAGATATATAGTCCAATTATGTCTGCATGTGATTATCCACCTGCCTGTTAATGTCTGAATTCTAAATTCTTTTTAAAGCTACTGTCTACTGATAAAATCCTGGTATAACAGCCAATGGAGTTTTTCTTTGGATAATTATTAAATGGATTTCCCCCTACATTCTCTAGAAACATTTGGAATGTGAGAGGAACAGAATAAACATGGATAGTATCGCTTGACAAATTTTCTTTGCTATATACAATCAAGTAACACGTATATAGTTTACATTACGTTCTTTAAGCAAAGAGAGCAAAAGATTGTACAACCAAGTTTTGATACTAGACTTATTTCTTTCATAGAATAATGCCGAAAGGTATTTTTCTTGGTTTAATAAAAAGATACAAGTAAATTTAAAGTTTTGGCACTGTGAAATTATATGGAAATAACACAATTGTTAACATTTCCTCTTTGTTGATCAAGTTTCCGCTTGCAGTAGTAGAAATGCTGACTCTTTGAATACCGGAACTATTAATCCAATCCCCAAGAGAAATCCCAGTGCAGAATGGAATGCAATAGCAAACAATTTTTATGATCCTTCTTTTCCCACAGAACACGTAAGTCAATTAAAAATATTGTAGAACAGACCTTGGTGAGCTAACTCCAGAGCTATGTATAGAATTGTATGCATCTTGATGCTTTAAGACTGACTTGATCTCCACAATAGTATTCAAGAGGGCAAATGTGGCAACATTTTTCACAATTAAAGTTGATAGAAAACAGCAGAAAAAAGTCATAGCATATAAATCAAATCAATCACATCTTATTTGAAGACAAGATCTACATAAAAACTTTTAAAGTAAAAAAAAAATCATGAATACAATATTTGTGTTCATTTTCTAATTATTATAACAGATATAAGCAATTTGTAAGTCTGAATGAAATATAATACAATTTATAACACTGACTTTATTTTTTTTCTTCTACGTTCATTATCTGATTACTAAATCTAAAAGTAATGTTGAGTATGTTATGCAGGCTTCTGTTTAAGCAACAGCTTTCTACAAGTTGGAACAGAATGGAAAAATTATACTCATCTACAGGAAAGGGTCATAGATTTATATAATTGCAAGATCATTGTCCAAATATTTGCTATGCCATTCTTGTGTAAAATAATATAATAAAAAGTATGGCCACATAAAAACCTCATTTGCCAAAAATGTGTAATATACTTCCTGGTAACAATATTAAGTTCAAACAGAACCTTCAAATAGAACCTGCTTCAACTTCTAGGTAGCCAGGACTAGAACAAGAAACTAAACTTGTATGCAAAAGAAACTAAACTTGTATTTAACAAACAAGTGTAAATTCTTTTCAGAAAACGAAGCTTGGGATTACAAGGAATCTATGTTTAAGACCCAAGAAGCACCGTGGAAAGCAAAGCTCAGGCATTGTGTGGGCATATACTTCTGCAGAATTTATATTCTCTGCAGCCCAATCCAGAATGACCACGAAAATATTCAAATTTCAAAATATTTTAAATTAAAATCAGATTATTCTACCCCCTCATAGGCATGTTATTCTCTTGTCAAGTTGCCCATGATTCAAATTTCAGAATAAATGAAACAGCATCAGAAAACTTTCCATGTTTGAAATTGTTTGAACTCAAAGCAATGATTTGAGCATATGAGAGTTTGAATTCAAAACATGTTGCATACTATTTATATATACACCCATCTACATAATGTGTGTGTGTGTGTGTGTGTGTGTGTATGTATATGTATTCAATTGCTATTACATTACTGTAGGATGCAAAGGTGCCCCCTCTCCCCCATTATAGTAGCAGAAAGTCACAAAACACAAACCAGCCCTTGAGGAGCAAAAACATTATTACAAAATCACAATTCAAAATGAATTCAACAGACTTATGTATTGCAGCTACACCCGACAAGATTGGGTTCCTAGATTCCCTAGATATTTGAAAGGGTTTCCTTTGTAGATGGCAGATGACTTTTTCTGTGGGAAACAAGGAAATGTTCATACTGAAGTTACAAGAAGAGATTTGATAGGAAGACTTGGCAAGAGCTGTTAAGCAGTAAAACAATCTGCCAGGAACATTGGGTATTTCCCCTGCTTTAAACCAGGTTTGGGTAGCTGTCTCCTGGAGATGATTCAGTGGTTCCCAATGTTAAGCAGGAGGATTTCATTAGATGACCTATACAATCTCTTTCAGCTTATCCATTTTATATTCTATATAGCTGAAATAAAAATTACATAAGAATGTTCAATGGCAGACATAATGTTGACGCAACATTGTCCTTCAGCGTGTAGAGGAAGACCTCATGCTGGTGAGAGAAAATGCTGTTGATGTGGCTGATACTGGGCAAATATCATTTAGTTTTAATCCTATATATTTTACATATTTTTACATATGCTGTATGTGCTATTTTATACCCATCTTATTTGCTCAGTGTTGAATGTTACAAGTTTATAATTTGAAAATGCTTCTGATATGAACAAAGAAAGACACAATAATCTTAAACTACTATAAATAGGATTGTGTTTGAAACTCTGGCCCAACAATAATTCAGTAGTGTCAGTTTAATTACCTTTTATAAACTGCATCTGGGATATGCATGAGGTACAGTTATATTACAGAACAATAAACCCAAATAAGTATCAGATTCCAGCTTATTATTTCCTAAAAGCACTTATAGAAAAATGTATGACTGTCCTTTAGATATAATGTATAGCAATCAGGCATAGAAAATGATTTATAATATTGTATACTTACATTTTAGGCCACAACAGAGATTCTGTCACAGCCGCAAATGAAGTCAATACAGGTTCTGGTCTCTGAAGTCAGTACAGCTACTTTAAAAGGGAGCTTAGATAGCACTGAAGATGGGAATTCACAAAATGTCTTCATGAACACCCAAATCAGTAAAACTGAAAAGTTATTGTATTTAGAAAAGCTCTGCCAGTCCAGAAAGAGAAAGTATGAATATTTGGAAAAAGAAGTGATATCAGGAAAAATGGAAATGTAATTGTTCTTAAATGTATGTCCTTCATTTGTCTCATATTTGTTACGTTCACTGCTAAAATAACATCTTGCAAAGTTTGAAGTGAGAAAAGTTGAACTGCTCTGATAATCTCAAAAAAGACTGACTATTTTGAGGGTATATGTATACATTGTTTTAAAACTTTTCTTTCTCACTGCTAATTATTAGAGGGAAACGAGTGCAATCAATATGAGGGTACTAAATGTAAATCAGTTGTCAAGTAATCTGTGTTTTCATAGTCCAGAATCCTAAAACAGTATCTTTGTGGAGTTTTCCAAATTTAGAAATAATCTGTATATTTAGATAGTGCAGAACATTATTATTTTAGAAAAAAATAATTATTGAAATAATAGAAAATACTTGTAGTTTAGGTTTTAAATTTTGGCAGTGGTTTGCTGTCCGAGCTTGTTTCCATTTAGCTCTCAAATGTTTTGTTACCAGACTAGGTAACATTGTCAGCGGATTTATTTATTTATTAAGTCAACCCGCTACTTCTTTGTTTCACATTTTACATCATAGAAAGTATTATTATGATTATAAAAATGGAATTTATTACTTCTGCTGCTATATTTAAACAAGCTTGTAAGGCAATTTAATGAATGCCTTAAAATCCAATTGTTGTTTAGTATATCAATAAAGAAATTCACAGAATTAAGCTGAATGGTTTATTGTCATCCATTTTCAATGAGATAAGCTTCTAACTGAAGAATCAAGTATCTGACAAACTGAGAAGACTGTTTTTCACTTGATTCAAATTTTGTTTCCAGAAGTTCAAGGTGTCATATAACTGCTGCCACTGCTGTTTTCCAAAGGTCCGATGTGTGCTGTGACTAAAGAAATAATAAAAAATAATAAAGTAACAAAAATGTTACACTTTTCATAAATACCTACTTAGAAAATACAAGCTAGAATCTAGATTAAAAAAAAAACCTTTTCAAATTGTTTATAGCAAACCTCAGCTACTCTAGGATTCTGCAGCCTTCAGTTAAAAACCATCATACAGGACTCATTAGTATTCTTGCCACTGTTTGGCCATTAAATGAAATGTTCTGGAAAATAGGACTCTTTCATTAAATAAGCTAATCACATTCAGTCTGAACTTTAATAAAATTATGATAAATAGCAACTATTTAACAACAGGAAACTGATAAGAATTATCTTACTTCTAGTTAAAATATTAAACAGATGTATAAGTACTGTAATCTGGACTGCATTGGTGCAGAAAAAGATTGAGGGCTCACCTGGCCACAACTTTTCTCTGTGTTTGATCAATTTTGCAATGCACCATCTTTGTTTTCACAGCTATAAAACAAACCAGAATGAGACATAATAAATTCCTTTTTAAATTCTACAAAATATTCTTGTAGTACTCTGTATTCTTTCAATGTGGGTTTATTTCAACCCAGGAAGAAAGGATTATTACCAGGAAGTATTTTATACATTGATTTATTTAAAATAAGTACATTGTGCATTTTTTATTTTTATGCATTCTGCCAAAAAATGTGTAATTTAATAAAAATCCAACATTGTAAAAACTATGCATTGCTATTATGCATTGTATTTCACTTAAAATTCAGCTTTAACAACTCATACAACTGAAAAATATATATTCAACAGAAGTGAATTACACTACAAATTGTGTCTAACAAATTACCTTACCATCAATAACAAATGCTTCCACATCATCAGCTCCTATCTGAAGTTCCTGCTGCATGGTGTCAAATGAAATTTCCTTGTTTTCTACTGCCATTCCCATGAAGGTAAGCAATCTCATTTTTGCCATGTTCTGTTCATGCAATAGACCTATGTTAGAGAATACTGAGATGTAATTACTTGCGTGCAGACTCTGACAAATAATGTTCTTATAACATGATTTAGGAAAAAAAATCAATTTTTATTACTGAGATTCTTTTCATAAATTGCACAGAGTATGAAACACCACAGTACCAGTACATGCAAAATGTGAGCACTATTTTAACACTGTTATAATGTTCTGAGAATTTTAATGCAGTGAGCACCTCTGCCAATTTGAGTGCCAATTTAATGCTTATACAATCCTGCCAAAACACTAGTAGACCCAAGAAAAGTTCCTCAAAATATAGGGCAGACAAAGAAAAATCTCAAGGAAAGTTAGGAAAAACAGGATTGCCTATTATTTTTCTCTTGGCCAATCTGTAGCCTTGAGAGCTGCTGCATAAATATCACTTATCAGGGTTATTTTTATGCCATGAAAATTAATTAGATCCACTCAAATTACTGAAAGATAATAATCTTACAAAAAATGAAATGAGAAAAGATTTGAATAGGGAAAATAAGGGAAAAAAGCAAAACAAAAACGGAGTGCAGATATTTTTTTATCTGAGGAGATGAAAAGCTAGTAATTACAAAATTTGGCAAAGAGATTACATTAGGGTAGAAAATGAAAATTAGATAAAGAGTTGGAGTTATTTAAAAAAAAACAATGATAATGTGCTAGTGCAATAAGATAAAGAAGCTAGAAAATTGGTGACGGTATGCTGAAGAAAAGAAACCTACACTATTAAAATGTGGTATGAGCAATAAAATGAAGAGTTAATTAGTGTTTTCTTATGCTAGTATTATATGAGAGAGAAAAGCATCTTGCTGAATCATATATATATTATTGAGCACTGAAAGCTTAGATAAATATCTGATTTATGTATATTTCTATGGTCTCATCCAGCATCCAAGAAGACCTGCTTGGGTTATAAAACTTCCTTTCCAGGCCTCCCATATATAGAATCAATTTGTCTTGTGTACAGAATTGTATAGAAAAGCCATTCCACAATTGGAAAGTTATAGCTGGATGCAATCTTTTCTATGACAATTTTTTTTCATTCAATTTGCAACTGAATAAAACTATTGTAACATTAATTACATTTCAGAAATTGCCAAAGCAAATCCAAATGCACAACAAATATTTATATTTCAATTAATAACACTTTCATATAAGAGCAGGAAGCAGATTACTACCAGACATAATGCTGCATTAATTAGCAATAATTATGATGCAGACTATTTATCTGGCACAGATTCAACAAAAATGCGATCATCATAACTCAACCAAACAGGGTGCTCCAGAAACTACAGCTAACTGGGCTTAATAGAAATCTACAAGCACCAAAAATCAATTCGTTGTGCATAAACTCTAATTAACAAATGCAAATGAAGCATTAATTACCCCTTTAAACGTAAAAAGGTTGTCTCTTGTCTGTATGATGAGATTCAAATGTGAACATGTTAGGGTGATTCACAGTTGACACAAGATAATACAACTGTTGGCCTAACCTGTCAACATTAATAAGGCAATGCATTGTAACAAACAGATGCCACCTGTGGGAGCCTTTCCTGAACAGGTTTTATGGCTTTATGTGGCTTGCTAATAATTTTAAAACAAGAGGAAATGAGCAAGTAAAAGAGGAAGAAAAATAATTTTTAAGCTTAGAAGTATTAAAAGTATTGTAATCCTTTATGGGATTCTTCACATACCAGATGAATTAATAATCATAGTTGGGTTAAATGGACTGACAAGAAAAGAGGTATCAAATGCATTCTGTGCAATTCTCTGTGTCTTAATATTTCAAAAGAACACATGCAACCTATTTATTACTTATGTATAAAGGCAACTGGTTCAGTTTCATGTATAAATAAGCTAAAAATGCTTGGAAAAATGAGTATACTTATCTGAGCCTAGTCTACTATATAATTATGGATCTAGCAGAGGCTTCTTTTAATACAGGAAATGAAATTATACATTTGGCCATTTCTTCTCTACTTGGGCCCTCATTGCCATCTTTAATGCTTCTGGAGAGA